GTAGTGGATTGTATGACATGTTAAAGTGCAGTGGCACAGGATGATTGTAATGATATTATGAACATGAATGCATCAGGACTGAAACTGAAGTGCAGTCCTTATCATTGTTAAAACTCAAATCACAGGATTTAAACCTATACATTATTGATTTCTATGTCTTTTATTGAGGGTTTAACACAGAAAAAGCAACTCTAATCAACATAGTGTGACATTGTTTAGTGTTGCATCAATGATCTTTCTAAACAAAGTAGTAAAACAGGCCTGTATGTTGTCTTACGGATCAGCATATATGCAGAGTTCCACTGTGTGTGTGTGTGTGTGTGTGTGTGAGGAATTAGTGCTTTACACTTTCCTTTGACTGACAGACAATAGATTTAAATGTCCATTTTCTGACTATATGATATTTTACTTGCTATTAAAGCAATCTCATATTCACAGACACCAATGTTTGTGTTTGTGTTTGTGAGAGTATGATTAAACTTTCCAGGGTGGATAGCTGTGATAGATACCGTTTCATCATGAGCACACAGGGATGAGAAGTGTGACCACACCTCAGAGAGGAGACAGTTCGGTTAAGCAATAATGAGCTACACCCAGTGTCTGGGGAAGCCCTTTGTTCCAGAGAGGAAAATGAACATCATCTAATGCTAATCTAATATCTAATATGTGCAGTCTGGTGGAAGCTGGAGGTGTTGGCGTGTCAGGTGTGGCACCACAAAGATGATGGTTTTATTTCAGGGGCAGTTATTAAATATCCAGAAACAATCAGAGGGAAATCAGTATCATATAAAACTAATGAAAATAAAGATATCCCATGGAAAGTTTCAAATTTTGTATCCTTTTCTGTCACAGTCCCCTTCTCACACTGAACTAAGATCACAGACTTCTGCAGAAGGACTTCTCAGAAGTCCAAAAAATTCAAAGCACAAGTAACAAACACATCTCCCACTCCTCCCAGCCCCCTCGTCTGTGGGTAACTTGATACAGGAGTTATTGACAGAATCATGCCTTGGGTGGGTTTCCACACATTTCGCTTTGAAACAGGAACAGTAGCAGCACAGGGGTACCATTGTTACACTGTCATGAAAGGCTGTCTTGTCGATGGTAAAACTACTAACACACAAAATATAGTGCAGGTGATCAGATCGTGTGTCAAACAAGAGTTTCCTGTGTTTGTGTTTGGAAGAGAGATCTGAACACAGGAGTCTTACTGGCATCCATCTTGACAGGGATGCAGGAAAAATGATCAATAAACAAAAGAATAAATAATAATGTCACATGTCTGATGAAATGCTTAATATTTCACCCAGTAAAATCCAAACTTGGACATCTATTTTAAATGTACATTATTGCATTTTATTCCATTTATTTGTCTTACTGTGACTTATGAATTTCCCTCTGGGGATTAA